GGTTTTAAGCAACAGCACAGCAGCCTACGTTATACAGGACAAACAACATTAGGTCAACACTCCCTGCCATGCAGCTCCAGAAACTAAGTCAGCCTGGCTTAGCAGGGGAACCTGGCACCAGGATGCATGTGCCTCCTGCTGCCACTTCTATCAACTGCGGCAGCTCACTCTAGCTGGGGCTCCTGGCAGCAGGATGTAAGCACGCCAAACTGTCTACTCCCATAGCAGCCGACTTTAATTTGGGATTCTGCCAGCAAAACTGCCAGTGACTCCTACTGCCCGCTTCCAATAGCCACAGCTGCTGGCTCCAAAAGGTACTCCTACACTGGGATGTTTGCGCCCTCTGCTGCCACTTCCAGCAACGTCAGCAGCTCGCTCTAGCCAGGGCTTGTGGCCTCGGGATGACAGTGCACCCAGCCGAACACTTCCAGCAACTGCTAACCTGATTGTGTCAGATGGTTTGTTACACAGAAAAATCATTGTTGGAAACCATTTGAAAAGGTCAGGAGAATGAATTTTAACCTCTTTAGTATCATTGTTTTATCAGCAAACAGTCACTTCTCACACAAGTTGTCACACACCTAATGTTAGGGCACACAGTTAGCTCATGTCATAGCTGATAGTACTTCCCCTTAGGATGCCGTTTTCTGCAAATAAAATGTGGACTGTGACTGAAGAGCATAGCTTGGGGCACATTGGCTGGAAATGGACAATTACATGGCCATTAATATAAATTTGGTTTAAAGTTTTAGAGGCAGTGGTTCTACCAAAACCACATCCAGTTGCCTCCGAAGTCAATTCTAGACATTCTCTTCTAGACATTCACTCTGAATCGAAAAGTTGAACCGGAACACCTTCTGACCTACAAATCACACCACCTCAACATCACCCTATGAATTACTCCCCAAGGGTGAGCTTTTATCTCTCACTTACTTATCTTTGGTTCGGCCTTCTTGCCAAACAGAACAAGATCAACTTCTGAATCAATGAATGAATGAATGTCTACTTTAGTGTCTTTAACCACAAAGCGATATTTATATCATTGTGAATCATTGTGACTGCTTTTAAAATAACTAAATCCTTTAAATCTCAATGACATCGTCTGGTTAAATAAATAAAAATATACAAGCTCTCATGAGTCCTAAAGAATATAATTATCTGATAGAGTATCAAAAGACAGAGGAGGGCTCACCCCACGTACTAGGCTTCTCCTCTGCTTCATGCTCCTGTCCCAACACTCAAGGATGTACTGGGACTGAAATTCAGCCCGGGACTTTGAGACGGAGAGGTCTTTTATACGAACGCTGTGTGGGGCGCAGTTATTTCAATAAATAGTGGTTTACTTGCATACAGTCACTTTCATTATGATGACCTTCAAGAAACTTTTTATTACACCTGCCTCTTAAGTTTGAATAAGAAAGGCGCCACTGCACTGAACAAGACCAGGTTAGGCAAGCCTGAGTCAGTCAGAAGGCTAAAATAGTTAAATATGATCAGAACTACAATGCAGTCTCATAAAATAGAATCAAATCCCTCAGCTTCAGCTCCCCTGTGCCGGACCCTGACTCTGCTTGTCCTGATTGTGCAGCTACATATGGATGTTAAGGAGATCAGTAATAATATAACTAACAATAATCCATTTTCTTATTCTATCTATGGATGATTGCCCTGCACACATCCTGTACCTGCCACTGTTTCTGTTTCCATTGTCCTCCTTCTCCTGCTTCTGTTCCTCGTGTTTCTCCTACAGTCCTCCTGTTCCTTCTTCCTTCAACTGTTGTTTATAATATATAAATATATAATATAGCCTCTATGCCTACATGAATGCATATATAAATTATCTGAGGTTATAATAAATGGATTACTTATCAGTACCTGCGCTGGTTCCTGCCTCATCCGCATCGCGCTGCCACAGCAGCGTTCCACTAAGGAAGAGGTCGGGTAAGTTATGCTTTTAGTTGCCTCTTGTGCCAACATTTCTGTCTTTTATGTTCTTGTTTTTTCAGCACTACACATTTCCTTTTCCTCTTTCTTTCTTTTCAACAATGTACCTCCTCTGTTGTGCTTGTCACAAAACACTGGGCTGAGTTCAGCCCCAAGATCACATAAAGAGATTAAACTTGTCCTTGCTGGAAAGTAAACTCCTTTACATCGGCGCCATTGAGCCAATCAGATTTCAGAAAATAAGAGGATCGGTCCGAGTTGGGAGGGGCCGCCTGTATCGAAGTATGAAGGTATAGGTTTGGCCCAGTCTAAAAGACACAGACCGTGTACACTGCAGCTGACCGGCCAACGCGGTCGCAAATCATTTTAAAGTTGAACATAAGAAACTGAAAAATAAAAACTCTTGAAAACCGGCTGGTTCGGCCTAAAATAGATCAGCTGTTCAGGATTGTTCCCACAACTCCCAATAGCCAATCCGCCCCTGCTAACACCTGCGCTGCTTCTCCCTCTCTAGAGGAACAAAGATTGGCAACATTTTAGAGAATTGTTTAGAAGCGTTACTGAAATGTTGTTTAGGAAAAGCTGGATAAGGGGATAAAAGGATCGGGGTCAGAGAATCATCGACCTTTCAATAGATTAAAATTATCTACCTAGTTTTATTTAGCAAAGCTTAAAAACATACAAAGCCTACGTCCAGAAACACTTTGAGATAGAAGAGAAGAGAATAAAGAAACCAAACAGAATTTCTGGGTCTAAAAAGCCATGAAGCTGTTCAGAAGACACTTCCTGCTGCTTCCTCTTGTCATTTGTCACCATCTGTAGACGGTCAGAAACTAAGCAACACACTTATTCACTGGTTATACAGAGTCTGCTAATCTACGGAAGCTAGCACTTTATGTGTTTATTTATAACTCTACACTATATTTCTGACCACTGAAAATTTAAGAAAACACATGATGATGATTATCAGTATTTTCATATATTCAAACTGATCCAGGAGCTGACTTCAGATCCATCATGTTATTGTTAAAGACAGCTGCTGTCACTCTGTTCACAGCTCAGAAGGCGTGCTCAGTGATGACATCAGCAGTGATGTCATCACACTTGCCATCCAATTCGTCACTTCCTCCAACCCGCTGGGTCATCTCCATGGAGACGGCTGGTTTGTTTCCTGTCTTCCTGCTGCAGCAGATGGACAGCATCAGACCAGTAGAGACGCAGTATGGACAGAAGACCACTAGATGGCAGCAGAGTCTGAGCACAGACAGAGAGGAGTCTGACGGAGGAGAACAAGAAGCACAGTCAGGTTTGTTGCCAAGTAGGTTTTTACGGAAGCCCTAAGTGCCCATCGATTCAAATGTTGTATTTACTCTGTTTCCCTTTGATAACAGGATAATTATTGAGATCTTGAGATAAAAAATTTTGTTTTCCCGTGCACACAATCCTGTGCCAACTGAGCTCACCAATTTCACTGGAAACTTTTCTGAAATCATCCTAAAGAAACAAACCTACCGACCCCTGTATTCAGCTATGATTTGTTATCTCAAGATCACGAGGAAATTATCCTGTTTTCACATGAAAACGGAGTAAATTCTATGGCCGCTTAGGGCTTCCGTAGTTTTACAACACACAAGGAATTTGCCTTTTTCGTGAGTAACAATAAAGAAAATAAAAAACAAGAACAGTAAAAGTCAAGAATCATAAACGTAAAATTGAAAGTTGAAGAATTAAATAGTTGTGTTTACAATGATTCAATGGGAGGGACAACTTATAACAGGAAGGAGGGGTCTGGACAGTTTGGTGGAATCACCTCATCAACACTGATTTATACCTTCATTTTATGTTCATTTCACACAGAAGGATCAACAAACAAATGTAGAACCAAATGTCATTCGTCGTGGTCTCATGTAAAATATTCAGTGTGAGAATCTAAGCTTTAAGAACTTTTGACCTTTTTACTTTATTATTAGTTTGAGAGCTGCAAGTTCAGCTTTAAAATTTAATTACTTGGATTGCTGATAACTGTAATGGTTGATTTTATGATTTTTATGAATTTTAAAATGAATCAGTTTCTATGGGATCACAGACTCAACAAGCTTATTGCTACAGCATATGTGCAGCGACAGACTCCATTCACGTTTTCAACTACTGAAAAAGTGTTGATTGTTCCAATTTGTACCTGGCATTTGCAAAAGATGTTTAGTTTTGGAAATGTTTATTTTCAAAGCGAAGGGATTTACAGTTTTTGGAGATTTCATCAGTGTCACATGGAGCAGAGCTTTTGGCAGATCAGATGTTTATCTAAACTGCTCCTGGTCACGCATATTCATCTCCATAAGCACATAGTAGGCATCAAAATGCAGCCATAAGCCTTTTCTTTGTCAAAATGCAACATCTTCCTTAATGGAGGTATAGTATTTTAGATTTACAACTTAATTAATAGATAACCCACAGTCAAGGTCTCATTCACTCTAATACAGCAAAAAATTAAACTGCAGACTGACTTCTCCTCACCTTCCTTATTCTTAAACGTGCAAAATCTTCCTTCATGTTTAGAAACATGCCATATTAGCTCATGCTCAAAATGCTAAAATACAAAAATCACAGCTGAAAAGCTTCATTTTTAAGGTAAATGCTCTATTTCATCAACAACAAGCGGTTATCAGACCTGGTCTGATCCGGAGAGACGGCATCCATCCCACTTGGGAAGGAGCAGCTCTCATTTCTAGAAATCTGGCCAAGTTTATCAGTGGACCAAATCCATGACAACCCAGAGTTGAGACCAGGAGGCAGAGTCGCAGTCTAACACACTTCTCTGCCCTTCTTTTTCAGCAGTTACCCACCCAAAACCCTACGCAGAGTCGCAGTCTAACACACTTCTCTGCTCCTCCATTTCAGGAGTTACTTAGTGAAAACCCTATAGTGACGGTGTCTGCCCCCCGACTATCGAAATTATTTAAATCAAAGGTAAACAGAAGAGGAGCTGTGCATAAAAACCTCATAAAAATTAAAACCACAAGAGCAATAGTGCAAACGAATAGGAGAGTTAAATGTGGACTCTTAAACATCAGATCTCTCTCTTCTAAAGGTGTACTAGTAAATGAACTAATATCAGATTATGATATTGATTTATTTTGTCTTACTGAAACCTGGCTGGGTGATGGAGAATATGTTAGCCTAAATGAATCCACCCCTCCCAGTCATATTAATACTCACATTCCTCGAGGCACAGGCCGAGGAGGTGGAGTTGCAGCTATCATCCACTCTAGCCTACTAATCAGCTCTAAACCTAAACCAAACTATAACTCATTTGAAAGCCTTGTTCTTGGTCTTTCACACCCAAGTTGGAAATCACTGCAACCAATTCTTTTTGTTATAGTGTACCGAGCACATGGCCCGTACTTGAGAATGACAGCTTCAGTACTGCGTTTATCTCTCTGTTAGATTCCATTGGCTTCTCTCAGAGTGTTCATGAACCCACTCACTGTTTTAACCACACCCTCGACCTTGTTTTGGTGTATGGTATTGAAATTGAACATTTAGTGGTGTTCCCACAGAATCCCTCTTTATCCGACCACTGTTTGATAACTTTTGAGTTTGTATTGCTGAACTACAAGATGTCTGTCTGATAGTGCTGTAGCTAAATTTAAGGATGCGATTCCATCAGCTCTAAATACATTATCTAGTCACAAAGTAACGGAGGACTCCTATGCTAATTTCAGTCCCTCCCAAATCGATCATCTTGTTGATAGTGCTGCAGGCTCGCTGCGAATGTCACTCGACTCTGTAGCCCCTCTAAAAAAGAAAATACTAAAACAAAGACGGTTAGCTCCATGGTATAATACTGAAACTCGCAAATTAAAGCAAATATCGCGGAAACTTGAGAGGAATTGGCGTTCCACCAAACTGGAAAATTCTCGTTTAATTTGGCAAGATAGTCTTAAAACTTATAGGAAGGCCCTCCGTAATGCCAGAGCAGCATACTACTCGTCATTAATAGAGGAAAATGGAACAACCCCAGGTTTCTTTTCAGCACTGTAGCCAGGCTGACAGAGAGTCACAGCTCTATTGAGCCAAGTATTCCCATAGCTCTCAGTAGTTACGACTTCATGAGCTTCTTTAATGATAAAATTCTAGCTATTAGAGACAAAATTCACCAAGACCTGCCCTCAATTGGCACCAACTTATCTCTTAACTCAGGAACCTTAGAAACAGCTGTAGAACCAGATACATGTTTAGACTGTTTTGCTTCCCTCAATCTTTACCAACTAACTTCAATAATTTCTTCATCTAAACCATCAACCTGCCTCTTAGACCCCATCCCGACTAGGCTGCTTAAAGATGTTTTACCCTTAGTCAGCACCTCTATACTAGATATGATCAATCTATCTTTATCAACAGGCTATGTACCACAGTACTTTAAAGTAGCTGTAATTAAACCTCTTCTGAAAAAGCCCAAACTTGATCCAGATGTTTTAGCCAACTATAGACCTATATCTAACCTTCCATTTCTCTCTAAGGTTCTGGAGAAAGCAGTTGCTAAACAGCTGTGTGACTTTCTACAGAGCAATAGTTTATTTGAGGATTTTCAGTCAGGATTTAGAGCTCATCATAGCACAGAGACAGCACTGGTGAAAATTACTAACGACCTCCTTATTGCATCAGACAAAGGACTTGTCTCTGTACTGGTTTTATTAGATCTTAGTGCTGCATTTGATACCATTGACCATCAGATCCTATTGCAGAGACTGGAACATTTCATTGGCATTAAAGGAACCGCTCTAAGCTGGTTTAAGTCCTATTTATCAGATCGATTTCAGTTTGTACATGTTAACGATGAGTCCTCCATACATGCCAAAGTTAGTCATGGAGTTCCTCAAGGATCGGTCCTCAGACCAATCCTCTTCACTTTATAAATGCTTCCCTTAGGCAATATTATCAGGAAATATTCCATAAGCTTTCATTGTTATGCAGATGATACTCAGTTATATCTATCGATCAAGCCAGATGAAACTCATAAGTTAGCTAAACTTCAAATGTGCCTTCAGGATGTTAAAACCTAGATGACCTGTAATTTTCTGTCATGCATTTGTTACTTCTAGGCTGGATTACTGCAATTCCTTATTATCAGGCTGCTTGAAAAAGTCCATTAAGACTCTTCAGCTGATCCAGAATGCTGCAGCACGTGTTCTGACAGGAACCAGGAAAAGAGATCACATTTCTCCTGTTTTAGCTTCTTTGCATTGGCTTCCAGTAAAATCCAGAATAGAATTTAAAATCATTCTTCTTACCTACAAAGCTCTTAATGGTCAGGCACCATCTTATCTTAAAGAGCTCATAGTACCTTACTACCCCACCAGAGCACTGCGCTCCCAGAATGCAGGGTTACTTGTGGTTCCTAGAGTCTCCAAAAGTAGACTAGGAGCCAGAGCGTTCAGCTATCAAGCTCCTCTCCTGTGGAACCAGGTTCCAGTTTGGGTTCAGGAGGCAGACACCATCTCCACATTTAAGAGTAGGCTTAAGACTTTCCTCTTTGATAAAGCTTATAGTTAGGGCTGGCTCAGGTGAGTCCTGAACCATCCCTTAGTTATGCTGCTATAGGCCTAGACTGCCGGGGATTTCCCATGATGCACTGAGCTCCTCTCTCCTCTACTTTCTCTCACTCTGTATGCATCCTCAACCCATTATTGCATGTTACTAACACAACTTCTGCCCTTTCTGGTAGTCTTGTGCTTTCTCGTCTCTCTCCTCTCTCCTATCACTTCCTGCAGGTTTTCTGGCTCTGGAGCTGTGGAGTCTGGATCTGTGGTTGCGGGTCACCTGCTGCCCCCGTGTTCCTGCTCGACACCCTCTGCTGCAACGACTATTGTTACTAGTCCTATTGTTATTATTGTTATTATAATCATTAACATTATGACTGTTACCATTAACACTACTATAAATATCTGTACCATTTTTCATTTAGTCTATAGCAACATCACCTTTACTGTCTGTACCTCTGTGTGTGTGTATATTGTGTAGGCTGCCTCCCTCCCCTCTCTCTCTCCTTACATCCCTCTGTTCCTCTCCTGCTCTCTCTCTCTCCCCCTCTCTCTCTCTCTCTCTCTCTCTCTCTCTCTCTCTCTCACCCCAACCGGTCGAGGCAGATGTGCCGCCCACCCTGAACCATGGTTCTGCTCGAGGTTTCTGCCTCTTAAAAGGAAGTTTTTCCTTGCCTCTGTCTCCTAGTGCTGCTCTTGGTGGGAACTGTTGGGCTTCTGTAAATAGCATCACAGAGTACGGTCTAGACCTGCTCTCTTATGAAAAGCGCTGTGAGATAACTGTTGTTGTGATTTGGCGCTATATAAATAAAATTGAATTGAAATTGAATTAGTTTGATCCCCAGCTTGGGCGAGAGTGTTAATTAGTCACAGCTTCAATCTTTCACACGCCTGAGTGGTGTTTGACCATAATGACTACCAACACAATGTTCAGTTTGTTCAAGGGGGTAAGCCAGAGATCAAACAGTGAAGCCGACCAAAGACGGTTCCATGTAGGCCCAAAAATCCTGTCGCACATGAGATATGTAACCTTATTGCTTGGATTATAAACTCTGTGTGAATCTAGCCAGAAGACTTTTGAATTACGGTGTTTCTGCTTTTGCTCTACGTCATCAAACCACGGTTTTGCTGCGCGATCATGCGTAGTAGACACTGATGCCAAAAGGAAGTAGCCCTGTAGTAGTATTTTATTGGTCCAAAACTGGCTTCACTGCTTTCCATTCAAATCAGCGGGGTGGCTATGGCTTGTACTATGGAAGAGGATTAGGGCCACATGTGAAAAATGGGAATTCTAACATTAAACTCGGACGTCAAATAAATATTTAACATGTGGCCCTAATCATCTTCCGTATCCTACTAATTGTAGTGATTTGTGTTAAATTTGTATATTTACAAGCACAACACTGCTGTTGAAGCTGTTTGTGGTCATCGAGTGCATTCTATTGGTACATTGGAGGCATTTCATCTCACTGACCCAAATCAGATTAAGCAAGTAAAAACCTTCTTCTAATGGTGTATCTTAATAGTCCAGTGGTTCAAATCCTACTCAGGGCATGTTAACCACATGCAGTAAACTGGAACGTTATTTGCTGACCAAGGCTGTGGATTTAGGTGTCACAGGATTGAATAGCACTAACGGCTACAAGCTCTCACATGCATTTTCTTTAGGAAATGTCCATTCTAGTTAATGTTTTGTCCCAGTTGATCTTATTCTGATATCATTATTAGGGTTAAACCTCTGTTGCTGTTCGACTCTTTCTGTATCTTTCACTTTTCACAACCTCACCTGCAGAAACAAGCAGTCCACTCAGCAACACAGCCGCACCTGCAACAGGTAGAAAGAGGTCACTAAAGGTCAGAGGTCACTAAAGGTCAGAGGTCAACAGACAGACCGACAGACTTCCATCAGCTCACCTGCAGCAGTCAGCACAGCCAGACCTACAACAGGAGAACAAGGTTTACTAAAGGTCAGAGGTCAGCAGGTTAACTTTGTATTCAAATATATAAACAGTTAGTAGCAGCATCTCATGGTGTTCATCAGTAAATGGAGTTGGCTCAGGTGTCATCATGTGACCTACAGGTACATCACATCTCCCCCCATATACAAGCAGCTGTTACCATGGGACTGAGGGTCTGTACTTCACATGACCACACCTGAAGCATCTCCAGAACTACCAAGCAAACGCCATGAGCTGATGAAGACCATGAGATGTGGCTGAAAGCTCTGGAAAAGCTCTAAGTGGGCACTGAGTTAAGATTATATTGTCCACCTCTAAAATGTGTGATGTTGGCAGTAACAGAAATAGCAGCAACAAACTCTCTGTAGAGAAAAGAAACTTGTCAGAGAATCAAAGTCAGGAAGGTTTAAAGTAAGGAGAACATTTCCATCCTGAAACTGAACACCAGTGGAAATTAAAAGTCCAGTTGATGAAGCAGAGTTTCAGTTCAGACATCAAGCAGCAGCTGCTTCACTCATGCTTCACCATCACTGCTCAGGTGTAGAACAGGTGTGTGTGTACCTGCAGTGTGTTTCCTTTGAGCAGATCTGACAGCATCTGGATCAGCAGGAAACAAACACAGATCAGTCAGGTTATTGGAAATGGAGATCAGAGAGCATTTCTCACGGAGCTGTGTGATAGACGGGTCCCAGGTGTCCTGAGGACGTCACTGATTGGACAGGAGTCCAACCAGTCCCAGGTTGTAGTTCAGTACAGACCTGCTGACTGGATCAGACACAGTCTGGTTCCAGTCTGTTCACATCAGGTGAGTCTGACAGCTTTCATACCTGTTTGATTCCTGCGGAGCAACAGAACTCCGACCAGGACCAGAACCAGTACCAGAAGAACCAGAGAACCCACAGCTGCACCAAGTGGAGGGGAAAGAGGGGGGGAAGCTGGGGAGGAGAAAGGAGAGGAGGAGGAGGAAGAAGAAGAAGAAGAAGGAAAAGGAGGAGCGGATGTACAAGTAGAAGTTGAAGGGGCAGTAGGACCTGGAGGAGAAATCAATAGAACGTGTTTCAATACTGTGATCATTTTATTATCAGGTCAGCAGGTTAGGATGCTTCTCAGTTATCTTAATTGCACCCAAGTGTCCTTCATTTGCGTCATTTCCTTGTGTTTCAGTCCCGCCCACAGGAACGAGAAATAAGATGTTCTTTCCTCCAAAGCGTCACGTGAAGCGACGTCTGTTTCTGAAGATGGCTGAGCAGCTTTAACAGCTGGAGAGACTTCTGATGGAGCTTGTGTCTGCACACGTATGCTGATACTAATAAAGTCTCACAGTTATCGCTGTACGTAGTGATATTCTGATTGTGATTTAATCATTGACTAATTATTGAAATTTGATCATGTTGTCCTTTGATTTATTAGGCAAAATGTTTCAGGGGAAATTGAAATGATGACGCTTTCATTCATACATTACATCAGCTGATTTTACTCACAGACCTGCTGGCTGCTTTCATCAGATGTTATCTGAGATCAGCTGCATGTGCAGGTTTCTTTTCCTTTTCTTACTTCTTCAGAGACTTTGGTGCAATTTAGTGACTTGTTTAGTACGACTAGTTTACTACGTTTTACTGTCGTCTATTTGGACTAAACAGTCAGGAATGATCAGCCTCATGTGACTGAATGGAAATAATGATAAATGACTGACTGACAGACTCTCCAAATCTCTCTGACATTTTCTCTGACTGCACATGTCTCTATAATAAAGGTTAATGGGAGAAACAACAGAGTCATCTGTTTTACTAAATGCAGAAAGTTGTTTGTGCTCCTTTAGTTGTTCAGACCTACATTGATCACAGATTTTAACTACACAGTGAATAAAATATAAAACTTTGATACACTTTTTATCTGTTATCTGTCTTCAATTGGTATGAAACTCATTTTATGTTGTATCAGATCAGTTTGTGCTGCTACAGCGTCAAATCAGTAACAACTCAATCCAATAAGGGGGCGTGTCGGTCAGTAAAAGACTTCTGCGAAGGATGCACTTGTGTATCCTGACTCCTCGTGCCCAAATAAGAGCTTTGGGATGGTCTGCAAGGAGCGAAACTCAGGTTCAAGCGAGGAATGAGGATTTGACAAATAAGGGAATTGAGAAGCACACTTAGTTCATATGTTTTATTATTAAGTGATGTCAGTGTCCTGACCTGTGACACTCAGCCATCTCCGAGGAGATTCTTCAGTCTGATCAAAATAACACCAGTAGAGACCTTCAACAGACTGATTGATGTTCCTGATGGTAAACTGTCCTTCAAGATCAGATCCAAGTTTAGAACCATCCCTGATGAAAAAGGCTTCGAGTGCGACCTGATCTTTGGTTCTGCAGCGCAGAGTGACATCACTTCCTGCCACCACAGGACGGGCAGGAATCTCCAGAATAACCTGAGAATCTGAAGAAGAAGAAAACAGAGTTAGTCCATCAGACCAGAACCATATTCAAAGTTAGACCTGTCAGACCAGAGTTATTTACAGACAGTTACATCCTGACCTCTGACACTCAGCCATCTCCGAGGAGATTCAGCAGTCTGATCAAAATAACACCAGTAGAGACCTTCATCAGACTGACTGATGTTCCTGATGGTAAACTGTCCTTCAGGTCCAGATCCAAGTTTAGAACCATTCCTGATGAAAAAGGCTTCAAGTGTGACCTGATCTTTGGTTCTACAGCGCAGAGTGACATCACTTCCTGCCACCACAGGAAGTGCAGGAATCTCCAGAGTAACCTGAGAATCTGAAGAAGAAGAAAACAGAGTTAGTCCATCAGACCAGAACCATCTGTCCATCTTCAACAGAGAGAGAGTCAGTGATTGTTTTCTCTTCCATCAGCTCACCTGCAGAATCAGTCAGTCCAGACAGCAGCAGCACAGACACACCTGCAACAGGAAGACAGGGGTCACTGAAGGTCAGAGGTCACTGAAGGTCAGAGGTCACTGAAGGTCAGAGGTCACTGAAGGTCATGGGTCACTGAGGGTCAGAGGTCACTGAAGGTCAGGGTCACTTAAGGTCAGAGGTCATTATAGTGGCCAGTGAAATGAGGTATTAAAACTTTTAATTTATTCAATGAACGGTCTGAATTCAAGAATAAAATAACAAGTGAACGGTTGATCTTTTTTTAAATCTCCATTTTAATTATTTGACTAATTGTAAATTGTTGTTTCAGTCATAGCCTGTATAAAAGAAGTGGACGTAGCCACGGTCACATCACCTGTTGGTTTGTGGACTACCATTTTGAAGCCTTGAGTTTGGCATCTTGGGATGAGAGGGTGGAGCTAGCTAGCTTGGCTAGCAAGGTGCATCCCTAGTTAACGTTAACTGTCATATTAACGGTGATTTTAATTTTGGCTAGCGAAAAACAGGCTGTAAACTAAATTTTCCTACAGGAAAATCTTTTAGTACAACTGAATGCTGAACAAGACGTTTTTAGGACTAAAATGTTGCAGTTAACTTTCATGAAGTGAAACAGCACCCAAAAAACAAGTTCACAAGGTAGCCCCGCCCTAAAGCCTCCCCTGCTTCCTGGTCTCTGTTCCTCTAAATGGGACCATAATTTACTAAATGAACATCATGCTGTGTTGAAGAAGACTTGAAACTAGCGACTGAGACCAGAAACTCATCAGGAAAGTGTTTACTGAGGGAATAAATCAGCTGAGAAGTAGAAACAGTTTCTCACAGACTTCTATACAATCACACTTCTTTCTGCAGCTGCTGGAGTCGCCCCCTGCTGGCTGCTGGAGAGAATGAAGCTTTTATGGCTCTTCAGCACTGGCTTCACTTTTCAGACCCAGAGTTTCTTTAAAGAGGTAGTATTATACTTTTTAGGCTTTTCTCTCTCCTTCATTTAGTTATATCTCATCTTTTTTGTGCATGGAATAGGTTTGCCAAGTGAAAAAGCCCAAAGGGAGTTCCAATCCAAGTCTATGTTGCCAAGCCGGTCGGCAACATGTACAGCTGAAACGAAGCGGTGTTTACAGGCTTCTCATTGGCCCACCCTTCTCTGCTTCTGATTGGCTAGTAGTTCTTAACTAGGAACTGAGCATGTGAAACTCCCAACAAAGATAAATTTAGAGACAAGATGTATCACTCCATAGCTAAAACGAAGCCTTCAACACAGGCTGAAATGAGGAGCTGCACCAATGTGCAGTATGATGGTGGTTTTGGTACAACCTCTAAATAAGATTTTGAACCTGAAAATGAGCATACCACCTCTTTAAAGATGCACTCAGTATCTGGTCGGCATTGTGTCTCCTGCCCGTTGGCCTGGAGTGAAACGTAAACACTAACCAGAATGACAGATGTAATCTCAGGGGACTGAAGTCTGATCAGAAATAATAAAGAGAGAAGTGTGAGGGAAACCTGACTGGAACTGGTGTCTCCAGTATTCAGTGTTTCAGGAATCAGCAGTTTGATTGTTTTTCTGATTCTTCATCAGGTTTGGTGAAACTCAGTGTCCACATTAATAACCATGGAAATGTCACAGTTAGAGAGGAAGTGACACATGAAAGCCAGATAAGATCAGAATGTCTCAGCTGAGCTTTCCTGTGTGAAAAGAAGAACTTCAGTGGTGCTAAAAACACCTCTGATCACAGCTACAAGCTGTCTAAGGCAGCTGTCCTCGACCACCAGAGGGTGGTGAAAACTGCTCAGCACATCCATGAACGGGACCCGTTCATCCATGAAGGACCTCTACACCCAGCAGTGCAGGAAGAAGGCCAACGAGGGGAAAGGGGACTAATTATGCATGGCCCTCATGTGAGGAGGGCCCATAGAGATACTATGAATAGCCGTAGATGCTGGGAAAGTCCCATACAGAATGCCTATGTAAAGGTCCAGAACTTTGTGCCACACCCCTACCTGCAGCAATAGAGTCAGGGACAGCTTCATCTCACAGACCATAAGACTGCTGGTTGAGCTCTCAACAGCGCTTTCTATCAGAACCAGTTTCAGCATTCAGCAGTTTGACCTACAGTAACTCATCTGTTGAATGGGACCACATCGGCCAGCCTTCACTCCCCACAAGCATCAATAAGCCTTGGCCACCCATTTCCCTGTCGCTGGTTCACCACCTTACCTTCCTTAGACCACTTTTGATAGGTAATGACCACTGCAGACCATTTTGGAGAGCTCTGATCCAGTCGTCTAGCCATCACAGTTAGGCCCTTGTCAAAGTCACTCAAATCGCTACGCTTGACCATTTGGTTTGGTGCTATGATAACGAGATAATCAGTGTTACTCTCTTCACCTGTCAGTGGTCATAATGTTATGGTTGATCTTTGCATATTATATTTAATTTCTGAAAATATTCTATTCCTATATTTTAACTTCAGCACTATTTTATGTCTCAGATTCTTTCATTTTACTTGCACTTTTCCTTCTACACTTAGTGTGAGCATTGTTTGAGGAGCCTGAGAATTAAGAATTTCATTGCAGACGACTGCTTCACCGTAATTGTTGAGCATCTGACAATAAAGGAGGTGAAGTTGAACATTAAGGGCCTGATGAGACGAGGCTGTACGTACTGAATATCCTTGATTCCACCTTAACCTCATTAATTATCTGTCTTCATCCTCGGCTTTTCCTTTCTTTGCATGTTGTTTTTATTTATTTAGTTTGGATTGTAGCTAACTAGCATGTGTTGGCACGTAGCATTATTTATTGCTGGACAGTAACATCATGTGCATATTTATTATGTTGTATGAATTATGAAATATCTTTTTAACAGGGAGGACAGAAATTCAGTGAAAGTCATTGGAAGTTGTTATCAGCTGCTGATCAGTGAGCCTGTTCCCTGTCAAACAAACTGATCAAAACACAGAAAGCTTCTTGATGGTGGAAGAAATGAACCATGTGACTGCAGCGTTCAGCAAAAAGCTTTTTCTATCACTTCTATTAAAGAGGAATAGTTTCGTCTTCTTTTTCCTCTGTATGAGTGCAGACACTGAAGTATGTGTTGGAGCTGTGATGGATGGATGGATGGATGGATGGATGGATGTGTTGGACTCACCGAGCAGCAGAGACACAGATGAAGCCTTCATGTTGTCTGGATGTCGACTGTCAGTCAGTCTGAACAGCAGAGTGACGCCTTCAGCTTCACTTCCCTTTTAACACAGTCAGCGCTGCATGCCACCCTGCTGCTCATGATTGGTGCTCGAAAGCGAGGGCGGGGCTACCTGTTTTAATGGGATGCAGTGTCGTGTATGAAGCTAAAAATCCTCCTCAACAGGAACTGGAGGTTCAGTTTTAGCTGCTCTCCAATGAATCAGGTACAGGAGGTTTTGGACCCGGGCAGAGCAGGTTTAGTATACTTAATTATAATGAAAAGCAAACCAAAGGGTACAAGCTTATGGTAACTGAGGTAGGTAAGGGTTAAGAAACCAGCTAAGCACTCCAGAACTGAGGCAAACAAATCCAGTAAGGAAAATAATCCAAGTCCAAAACTCAGAAAGGAAGTCTATGAAACCAGCCATAGGGGAAATAACTCAGAGAAACACTAAAGATATCACTGGAAGGCTAGACAGACAACAAAAGATGGAGATAACGAGATACAGGTGAAAACAATACCCATGAGGACCAACTTAACACAATAAAATAGGAATTTACAAAAATCTAAATCACAACCACATACCAACCAATACCCCCGCCGACGGAAGTCAGTAAAGTCACAGAAAGTCCATGAAAAATCAGGTCGGTGGAGTAAGTTCCAAAAAATGGATTCAAGGACAAGTGTGGAGTGAGCTGAAGAAATGAGCAGGTGCTCAAAGGTGGATGGCCAGTGACCTGGACAGGGAAGGAGCAAGAGAACTCAGGCGACAGCCTGGAGGCATTAATGAAGCTGAACTGGATGTCAGAAAGGCTGAGTGAAGTGGCAGGAGGTAGAGATGTGGACCCAAAATGCAGACACCAGAACAAAGGAGGTTCAGTTGATGATATTTTAATACAGTCCAACAGAAACTCACTGGCTTACACTTGGTGTAGCAGTCCAAAGTCCAAACTAAACAGCAAAATCCAAACAGGAAGCAGGTCTACACTAACATAGAGACATAGAACTAAGGACTAAGACACAGACACAAGGAGAGAACAGACAGGGCATAGTGATCACAGGGGGAGCAGACAGAAACTAACAACAACCAAACAGAGAAACACACAGGGACTAGGATGAAACAGAACACAACGTAGACAAGACCAAAATAATAAAACCCAGAAGTACACAGACCAGGAGTAACTCTAGAACATGAACTAAGGCTCATGACTAAGAACTAAGACACAGGACTAAGAACTGAGGCAAATAGCTAAAATGCAAGACTAAGAACTGAGATAAGAGACAAGACCGATACTTACTAACTTAAACATGCAAATTAACAAAATACTAAACTAAGCTAATGAACATAAACCCCTAAACAAGATCACAGAGGCAATGGGTAAAACAGAAAGGACAATAAACAAAATAACAGAAAAACACTACACTGATGTACGGAGCATTTACATTTACATTACTGAAACCCAAGGTCGTGACACTGGAGACAAGGCAGGCAGCCTGGAGGCAGAACAGATGGGCAACCAGGAGGCAAGACTGAAGGGCAAATCAGGTCTGGAGGACGACCGAAAAGAGATAGGTGATGAAGGCGGAAACCCTCATCTGGCCAGCTGAGTCTCTGGGGAGCTGTACAATAAAGTCTTTGGAGCGTTGATCAGCTGAATCTCAGTGGAACTGGCTAACAACATCTATGGATCACTGATCAGCCGGGTCTCTGGGGAGCAAAACAGCTGAATCTCTGAGGAACTGGCAAGTGCTGGGCTGCTCAGTTTCTGGGGAGCCAGGCAGCAGGAATTCCACAGCTCTGGGCTGCAAAGTCACTGGGACGCTAGGCAGGAGGACCCCAACAGCACTGAGCTGTGGTGAGGACGAGGGCTAGATTGCAGGGACTCCGGAAAGCCACTTGAACAGTTCATAGGCTCATAGACTTTTGGGGTTGGGGTTGCCAAATCAGGACCAGCCAGCAGGCTCACAATCCTAAAGCATGATCAACTGGAGTGCAGGCTGATTGCTAGCTGATGGGGTGAAGGCTGGGGGCAAGCCAACCAAGATGAAGGCTTCTGGCTAGCAGGCCGGGTTTAAAGGTTTTCAGCAACAGCACTATACATCATAGAGGACACACAACATAGGGTCATCAACACCCCTGCCATGCAGCTCCAGAAACTAAGGCCTTATCCACACTACTCCGTTTTAGTTTACAAACGGAGAATTAAAACGAATACGATCTCTGTCCACACCAGTGTTTCCGCTGCGTTTTGGAGTTGATCTTCGTCTACATTAAAACAACTGAAAACACACAGCTAGGATCCGTTCAGGTTCACTGGATATGCGCCTACCACAGTATTTTTTTAAAATATATTTTGTCAGCAATAACAATAACTGGTAATAAAGTAGGTCTGCCTTTTGCCGCCTCCACTGTGCATGCTCTGTGTGTTCTGACACCTTTCAATCAGAACCAGCATCAACTTTTTCAGTATTTTGACCTTCAGTAGCTCGTCTGTTGGACCATACGGGACAGCCTTCACTCCACACGCACATCAGTGAGCTATGGCCATACATAATCCTTTGTCCAGTTCACCGCTTTACTTGGGCCGCTTATGATGGTATTGACCATTCTGAAAATGCTCTGACCCAGTTGTCTTAGCCATCACAGTTTGGCCCTTGTCAAAGTTGCTGAAATCATTACAGCTATCCATTTTTCCTGCTTCTAACACATCAACTGTGAGGACACAGTGTTTACCTGTTGTCTAATATATCCCAACCACTGACATGGTACCATGGTAGCCAGATAATCAGTGGTATTAACTTCACCTGGTCATAAGGTTATGGCTGATTGATGTATATAATGTATCATTTTGTACTATATTATAATCCTATATTTTTACTTCTACACTATTTTGTGTCATATATCTGAGATCCTCTTGTTTTACCTATGATTTTCCTTTTATATTTATTTTTCACGGACATCTTTAACACCTCACTGGAGACACGCCATGTGCCAGTCTGCTTTAAAGCCTCCACCATCATCCCTGTCCACTAAAAACCAAGGACCACAGGACTAAATGACAACCGATACATCCAATGAAGTCTTATGAGAGCCTTGTGTTGTCCCACCTCAAGTCCACTACAGACCCACTCCTGGACCCCTTGCAGTTCACCAACAGAGCCTACAGATCTATAGACGCTGCAGTAAACATGGCCTTTCACTTCTTCCTCCAGCACTTGGACTCACTAGGAACCTACACCAGGATCCTGTTTTTGGATTTCAGCTCTGCCTTCAACACCATCATCCTAACTCTGCTGCAGGACAAGCTCTCTCAGCCTCTAACTGTGTTTGATGTTGTTGGAATCAAACTGAATTTAAACATGATGTCAACACACCAGCAGCGCCCTGACATCAGGCAGAAAATAACACTGGTTTATTATCTCGTTTCGCCTCTCAGTACTCTACCTGGACCCAGACTAGTTCTTTCTGCATGGTTGACATAAGGTCAAAGTTCAGACTGGTTCACCTGCAGCAGCAGGTTCGTGCTGCCACCATGTTCAAAATCTTCGCTCTCTGGAGAAAAAAAATGGATCACTTCAGCACAGTTCTGCCACAGACTGTGTGGACAAACTGCCTCCATCTGCTGCAGCTGTTTGATTAAAAACATGTAGGAATTCAGAATGAGTCAGAAACAAAGAGCAAAATGATGAAAAGCTCTGACTGAAAACCTTCATGCAAGATACAAAAAATCTTCACTGTTGGAAAATGATAAAAACAGGAACAGAGTGATCAGTGAGAGCAAAGACAACATGCTGTGATCTAACTGAGCTGATATCATTGATGCCAGCAGCTCTAATATTAGTTGTATATACATATATTGTATGTACTGCAGTTATTGATATTATGATCTGAATAGATATTAAAACCATGAGAACGTGTTTGAACAGCTGAACCACAGCATGAGTGTGAAAATGTTTCTCTGACTCACTTCTTACTTCTCTTTTCATGTCTTCACTTCACTCCTTCATCTGGTTTTAACCACATTCGCACCCTCAACACAACATCAGGACTCTGAGCTAGTACGATAACACTGAGCTTAACGATGCAACACTACAACAGTACTGTTATTATGTGAGACCACACAATGCTGGCTGCATGTTTTCTATCTATTATAATGTTGCAGCTCTTTCTTACAATAGCTAAAATAAATGTGAAGCTGCTTACCTATTGTGTCAAGGATGGCTGAGTGCAGTAGCAGGAAACAGAGCTGTGGACCCAAAATGCAGAAACCGGCAACAAGATGCAGTTCTACAGGATATTTAGTAGAATTAAAACTCAAACAGGCTTACTTGGAGCACAGCAGGCAACGGTCCAAAAAAAGGTAGATCCAAAAAAGGATAATCCAAAGGGTCAGCAGAGAATCCAAAAAACAAGAGATAAGGGCGCAGGCAGAATACTCAAGACAACACAACAAAGACCAAACAGTACTGAGGGTTTAAATACTGACAGAGCAACTGAGACACATGAGGGTAATCAAGGCAGAGACAGAAAAAAGCAAGTTCAGGGGACAGAGACAGAACCTAACTGGAAAAATCGACTGACACAAAACATGGAACAAATGCAAATAACAACGAGTTACAGAAACTACAGAACCCAAACCAGAAAACGAAGAATCCTATAATAATGGGCCAAAGGAAGACTAGAACTAAACTAGACAGAACATGGAGAAGGAAACAGGCAGACTGAACAATAATAAATACACAATAACATACAGGAGTGAAACCCAAGACAGAAACAAACAGCAGACAAGGCAAAAAATTGACAATAGACTAGACAGGAATCAAACAGACTAGACAGAGTGCAAATATGATAGGGATCATGACAAATTGGACTTTCCCAGTCTTCACTATCATGGCAGAGACCAACTAAAAATACCTCTCTCTCCTAGATGCGTTTTACCATTGGCTCTCCGACTGTATCAAAGATCAGTTGATCTTCACTCCCTGGTAGCCTTTACCATGCGCATCAACAGGTGTCTCTGGGAATGGAGGAGAGAGAGAGC